CAAAAGTTGGTTCTTTGAAAAGATCAAAAATTGCCAAACCTTTAGTTAGATTGACTAAGAAAAAAAGAGTCAAACCACTAATCAGAAATTAAAATAGGGAATATTACTACCAACCTTACAAAAATAAAAAGGATTATAAAGGAATGCTATGAATAGCTATGAATAATTGTATGCTAACAAATTAGACAACCCAGATGAAGTGGACAAAGTCCTGGAAACATAAACCCTATGAAAACTAACTCAGGAAGAGATAGAAAATCTAAGCAGAGTTAAAACAAGAGATTGAATCAGTAATAAAAATTCTTTCAAAAAAGAGAAGCCTAGGACCAAATGACTAATGAATTCTATCAGTTATTTAAAGAATTAACACCAGTCCTTCTTAAACACTCATTCTGGGAGGCCAGTATTACCCTGATACAAGCCAGACAGAGATATCCCAGGAAAAAGGAAACTACAGGTCTGTATCTTTTTTGTATATTAATGTAAAAATCCTTTACAAAATAGTAGCAAGTTAAATCCAGCAGCATATTAAAAGGAATATACACCATGACCCAAGTAGGTTTTATCTCAAGAATGTAAGAGTAGGGGCGCCTGGGTGGCTCAGTCGTTAAGCGTCTCCCTTCGGCTCAGGTCATGATCCCAGAATCCTGGGATCCAGCCCCGCATAAGGCTCCCTGCTTAGTGGAAAGTCTGCTTCTCCCTCTCCCACTCCCCCGCTTGTGGTCCCTCTTTTGCGCTCTCTCTCTGTCAAATAAATAAATAAAATCCTTAAAAAAAAAATGCAAGAGTAGTTCAACATATGAGAAGTGATCTTTGTAATTTATTAATAGAATGAAGGGGGGGAATCATTTGATCATTTCAATCAGTGCAGAAAACGCATCTGAAAAAATCCAACACCCTTTCATGATAAAAACACGTAACAAATGAGGACTAGGAGGGAACTTTCTCTACTCGATAAAGGTCATTTATGAAAAACCTATAGGTGATATCATGCTCAATGGTAAAAGCATGAAAGCGTTTCCCACTAAGATTGTGAACAAGATGGGTCATCTGGCTGTCTCAGTCAGTTGAACATGACTCTTGTTCTCAGAGTTATGACTTTGAGCCCCATGTTGGGTGTAGAGCTTACTTTAAAAATAAAAGGTGGGGGGCACCTGGGTGGCTCAGTCGTTAAGCATCTGCCTTCAGCTCAGGTCATGATCCCAGGGTCCTGGGACCGAGCCCTGCGTCGGGCTCCTTGCTCCACAGGAAGCCTGCTTCTCCCTCTCCTACTCCCCCTGCTTGTGTTCCCTCTCTCGCTGTGTCTCTCTCTGTCAAATAAATAAATAAAATCTTTAAAAAAAAAAAAAAGATTGAGAACAAGACAAGGATGTCTAGGGATGCCTGGGCGGCTCAGTTGGTTAAGCGTCTGCCTTCGGCTCAGGTCATGATCCCAGGGTCCTGGGATCGAGTTCCACATCAGGCTCCCTGCTTGGCGGGGAGTCTGCTTCTCCCTCTGCCCCTCCCCCTGCTTGTGATCTCTCTCTCTCTCTCCTGTGCTCTCTCTCTCAAATAAATAAAATCTTTAAAAAAAACTTTGAGCTAATAAATGAATTTGTCATAGTTGCAAAATTGAAGATTAACACACCAAAACTAGTTGTATTCTATACACTAATAATGAACAAACCAAAAATAAAATTAAGTCACCAATTCCATTTAGCATCCAAAAAGAATAAGATACCTAGGAATAAATTTAACTACAAAGTGTAAGACTTGTATACGGGAAACTACAAAGCATTGCTGAAAGAAATTAAAAAATACCTAAATAAATGGGAACATAATCAGTGTTCATCAGTCAGAAGACTTAATGTTGTTAAGATGACAAAACTTCTCAAAGTGCAGTCCCTATCAAAATTCCAGTGGTATCTTTTTACATAAATGGAAAAGCTGATTCTCAAAGTTATGTGTAATTTCAAAGAACCCCAAATAGCCGAAACAATATTGAAAAAGAAAAGTTGGAGTACACACTCCTTTTAATTTCAAAACTTAATCCAAAGCTACACTATGGAGCTGGCATAAGGTAGACATACAGACAAATAGGATAGAATTGAGAGTCCAGAAATAAACCCAAGTATCCATGAGCAATTGATTTTCAGCAAAGGGTACCAAGACCACTGAATAAGGATATAGTATTCTTTTCAACAAATGGAGCTAGCATAACTGGATATCCACATTCAAACAAATGAAGTTGGCCCCCTACCTTCTACCATAAACAAAAATTAACTCAAAGTGCGTCAGTGATCTGGGTATGAGCTAAAACTACATACTCTTAGAAGAAAATATAGGGATAAACCTTCATTACCTTGACTTAGGCAGTGGATGCTTAGATATGACATCAAAAGCACAACAGAGAAAAGAAAAAGTAAGGTGTGTTAGACTTCATCAAAATTAAAAACTTGTGTTTATCCAGGGACATTAAGAAGTGAAAAGACAGGGGTGCCATGGGTGGCTCATTCGGTTAAGTGGCTGCCTTCGGCTCAGGTCTTGAACCCAGGGTCCTGAGATTGAGCCCCACATTGGGCTCCCTGCTCAGCAGGGAGTCTGCTTCTCCCTCTCCCTCTGCTGCTCCCCCTGCTTGTATGTGTGCTCTCTCTCTCAAATAAATAAATAAAATCTATTAAAAAAAAAAGTGAAAAGACAACCTACAAAATGGGACATGCAAATCATATGTCTGATAAATGTCTAGTATTCAAAACATAATGTATAAGAATTCTTACAGTATAACAGTAGAAACACAACCCAGCTCAAAAATGGAATGGTCAAAGGACTTGAATTGATATTTTTCTAAAGAAGATATACAAAAGGCCATCAAGCCCATGAAGGAATACTCAACATCATTAATCATTAGGGAAATGCAAATCAAACCACAGTAAGATACTACTTGATACCCACAAGGATGGCTATAATTAAAAACAAGTAACAAGTGTTGGTAAGGATGCAGTTAGAATCCTCATCCGTTGCTGGTGGGAATGTAAAATGGCACAGCCATTGTGGGAAACAGTTTGGAAGTTCCTCAAAAAGTTAAACATAGAACTGCCACATGACCCGGCAATTCTACTTCTAAGTATCACCCAAAAGAATTGAAAACAGGTACTCAGGCAAATACCCATACACAGATGTTCATAGCAACACTATGCACAATAGTCCAAAGCTTGAAACAACCAAATGCCCCATCAATGAGTGAATGGATAAACTGTAGTGTATCTGTACAATGGAATATTATTCAGCCCTAACAAGGAATGAAGTACTATACAAACTACAACGAGGATGCACTTCAAAAAAATGTGAAGTGGAAGAAGGTCACATATGGCTCCAAATTATATGAAATATTCAGAATAGCTAAATTCATAGAGAGAGGAGATTAGTTGTTACAAAGGCTAGAGGAGGGGAACAATGGAAGTTACTGTTTAATGGCTATAGCCATATCACCTTCCTTTGGAAGTGATAAAAATGTTCTGTAACTAGATGGTGATGGTCATATAACATTGTTAGTGCACCAAATGTCACTGATTGAAAACTTTGAAATGGTTAATTGTATGCTATGTGAATTCCACCTCAATTTTTTAAGGCTAAAACATAACAAAAATTACTTAAAATCATTAAATATGCGATAAGCTGAGAGTTTTTCTTGATTATTAGAATGGAGGTAGGAACTGGGCTACTATGACCGCTATTACAGAGTTCTGCTGATTTTTTCTGACCAGAGCTGAGGTTTATTTCTCGGTACCTCTGATAATCAGTGGCCAAAAGGACAACTACTAAGAGTATGGTGACGGCAGGTATTAAATATGGGGTAGGAGGATAGTCTATGTATCAGAGGGATCATAGCTCTTTTCACATGAGAGCATCCTCTGAACTGTATCCAGCACCCTTTCCAGTTGAGGTCTTTTTCCCTTAGCTACCAGAAAGGTTGGAACCAAATTCTGCCAAATTGACTTCATTTGCTTTATGTTAGGGTCACTGGTTTAGTAGGTCAGGGCTGCTGAATCTTTGGATTTCAATGAAGCACTTGACAAAGTCTCATGTCACTGTAGCATAGCATAGGGATCTCCTCAGCATTTTCATCCTGATGTCTTCTTTTTTTTTAATCCCATTTTTTGTGCCCTGATACTAGAAAGACTAGCAAATGCATTGGTTGACAGACTCAGAATCTAAAAAAGGCAGAAATGAATGATTATGGATAAAATGTAAGAAGATACATTTTATCAGGTAAACATTAACTGTTATACCTGCGACCAAAAAACACAACTGAACAAGGAAACTGTTGGAGGGGACAGGATTTAATAGCAACATATGCAGTAAAGAGTAACAGCATGTGATCACTCCTAACCTTTTAATATGAGCTAGCACAAATGGTTGTTTAAATGCAGCATTGAAAATGACTCTGCACTAATCAGGCCACATCTGGGGCATTGTCATCCATTCCATTTTACTAGACACTTTGACAAATTGAAAATAAATCCAGAGGTCTTCTGTCAGAGATGGTGAGGATTACATTTAAACCTATGCCATGAGACACAGTTGAAGAAAACAGGAATGGCTAGTCTTGACAATATTGGCAATCTTCAAACAATGAAAGCTATCCTAAAAGAAAAAAGAAGAGGAAAAAGAACAATTGACTGCCTTGTATGGTCATGAAAGCATTCAAGCAAAGACTTGGTGGCCATTTTTCAAAAATATTCTTGATGCTTAAAGGGTAGAACCACATAGTGACTAAAGTGTCTTTCAACCTTAAGATTGTATAGATCTGAGTAATTACTAGAAAGCATGAGGATAGGGAAAAAGAAAATACAGGTTTAAACCAATGGTCTAATAGAACTCAAATATTTATCAGATGCATCTAAATTCAAGGCATTGTTGAAGGTTCTAGCATCCTCTGAATAACTCAGAAGTGATGATATTTTCAGGTTTGGGTTGGTATCTGTGGGAAGATAACTTGTTTCCTTGGCTTTGTTTTATAGTCTAGTCTCCTGAGACAAGATCTGGGGCTTGGAAGCCCAGCACAGCTGTCTTCTTCAGGAAAACCTGGGACACCATACTACTCATTCTCTGCCACAAGTTCCAGGAGAAGACCACTCCATGACTCTGCAGCACTTGGTAAGTGTGTTGTACAACAAAGCCTATCTTACAAATGTTTCTTTTTCTTTTCTTTTCTTTTCTTTTTTTTAACCTCTTAGTCTTCTGGCTGCACTTTTATTTAGTAGAAATTTGGTTTCTTAGATATGATGTTGATATTAGGGCTTATTTGCAGAAAGTAATGTATCTGTTAGATATTTAGTAATCAATATAATCTTGTTTGGTCATCATAAGAGGAACTAAATAGTGAAAAATGGGATTAGTTTTTCCTATTACAATAAAAATATCATGGGCTAATATTAACACCTTATTTTTGACTAAGATTGATATAATGCTGAACAGTTTACAATGTGTTTTATATACTTTGTCATCTTGTTGTTCCAGCAGCCCTGCTGGTCAGTGGATGTAATACTAGATTTAACAGAAAATGAGGCTCAAAAGGACACACTCATATAATTAGTAGATGGTTTACCCAAGATAAAATTTAAGATTTTTTGACTCCACATCCAGTGTTCTTTGCATTTTAAGTTTTCTACTCCCATTTTTTAAAAAATTGAGGTAAAATCAGTCATACTAAAATGTACAAGTCAGTGATATTTAGTACATTCCTAGTGCTATGCTGCCATCATCTCTGTCTCTTTCCAAAGCATCACCTCAAAAGGAAACTAGGTACCTATTAAGTTTTGAACCCTCATTTTCCTTAGCTTCCTTCTTTTATGCCTTATACATAGCCTAACCAGGCCAGTCTGTTTTGCATTGCTGCTTACAGCAAGCCTCAGGTATACTCTGGCACCTGATCCAGGTAGTATTTAAATGTGAGAATTTTTGGTGATTCCTTTATAGGAATCTTCCTTTACACAAGAAAATTGAAGTTGTGGGTGCCTGGGCGGCTCAGTTGGTTAAGCGACTGCCTTCGGCTCAGGTCATGATCCTGGAGTCCCTGGATCGAGTCCCGCATCGGGCTCCCCGCTGGGCAGGGAGTCTGCTTCTGCCTCTAACCCTCCCCCTTTTCATGTTCTCTCTCTCTATCTCATTCTCTCTCTCAAATAAATAAATAAATAAATCTTTAAAAAAAAGAAAAGAAAATTGAAGTTGTACAGGATGTTTCTATCAAGGATAGGCCAGCTTCTGAAATAAATATAGCCCACTAAAAGAAAGTATGTCATAGTTATTTATTCCAAAAATATTTGTTGACTGCCTTCAATTTTTATATCTACCTGCTGTCAAACCTAGATTTTTATGAAATAGCCCTCTTCCCTGGATCTAGAGTATCCTTGAGTATATAAAAGGGTAATGATGGTCATGCTTGGCATAGAGAGCTCTGACTAGATGTGCCCACCTCTCAGCATTATGGGTGACTTAGTATGTGTAATAAAGTAAGCCCAGATGATTTAGACCAGTATATGTTTGTTATTAAAGAAATGATAAATTGTAAAGCATCTTTTCTCCATCTTCACTTTTGTTTCCCATCAAATAAGTTAGGGTAGGAACACTCATTTGAGTCTAGATGTGTCATGTCACTAGAGAAATACCTTGTTAGTATGCTATGTGAGCACATACTATGTCAAAATGCATTATTATGGACCAATATAATATTACTAAAAGCTCAGGGAGAAAATGAACTATTGATTCACTAGGAATTGGGGTGGAGGTATAAAAACTAAAGTTTTCCAGAAATTAAAACTTATATCTTCATTTTCATTTTGATTATGATAGTGATAAATACTGTTGTCTTCTCCATATCTTTACAAAATCTTTACAAAATTCTATGAGGTTGTAATATTAACCTCATGTTACAGATGAGGAATCAAGACCCAGAAAGTTAAGCAGCTTAGCCATGGCTTGGTACCGAGGCAAGCCCACTCATTTCCTGTATGAATACCACTTAGTGGAGTATTTTTCCATTCTTCATTGTTATTTTTCAGTCAGCCACTCTTTCTTGGCATTGCAGTTATTCATAAAATCTCAGATTTGAAAGGACTTCAGAGATCATCTATACCCACCTCAGTATCTTAAGCTACTTGGATGCTTTACGAAATCAGCATTCTGCAAAACAGCATCTAGCTATCTAATTTATAATATTTTGCCACATAATTTTAATATAAACAGTAATAATGGCTAAAATTTATTGTCACTCTGCCAGGCAATGCCCCGAACATTTTTCACGTATTATCTTTACTACAATAACTCTAAGATGTGTTACCCCTTTTTACATCTTAGGTAACTGAAGCACAAGGAGGTTAAAAGTAACTTGCCCAAGTTCACACAGCTGCTGTATTTGTTGCTGCTGAAATTAGGAGCTGAAATTTGAATCCAGCCAGCTTACTCTCTTAACTGTTAGACTTTGCAACCCCTCAAAAGTGAACTATGCATCCCAAATTTATGTTTTTAAATACAACATTATGGATGTAATTGTGTAGTGGCAGCCAATGATGAGATAAAAATATAAAAGAAGCATTTCCGGGTGCCTGGGTGGCTCAGTCGGTTAAGATCTGACTCTTGATTTCGGCTCAGGTCATGATCTCAGGGTTGTGAGATCAAGCCCAGTGTCAAGCTCTATGCTGGGCGGGGAGCCTGCTTAAGATTCTCTCTCACTCTCCCTCTGCCCCTCCCCCCCAATTAAAAAAAAAAAGAAAAGAGACATTTCTGTTCACATAGGAGGTATAAACTGTCCTAAACTAAATAGAACATCTTCTGCTAGTAATTAATCCAAAATAGATTGATGAGCTCCAGACTGATAGGAGCAGTTCAGTTAACTCTCTTGGTGTAGAGTGTGGCTTTTGCTCAAAGGATACTGTATTTATTAGTTATGAAGAGTTCTAGAAAAGCCTCACAAAGAACAAAAAATTTGCTTCTAAGTTTTATAAGTATAGAGTGTGCCAGATGTTGTTTATCTTTGGTACTTTTGTTTTAAGGAAATACAGGCTGCCTCTTGGTGTATGGACTTAGATGGTAATGAATGCTTTTCTCTCTTTTTTATTGTATAAAATTTTTCCACATGCTACTTCTAAAGATGCTTCATTAGCTTTGCAGCCTCCTAGAATATAAAGATGCCCAGCCCTAATTTAAAAAATGAATTTAGTTCTTTCTTAAACAACTGTGTGTCTTATTGTATCTTATAATTTATGACCCAGGAAAATGGATGCTTGTTTAATTCTCATATTTACAGTTTGCAAAACAGTATACTTTAACATCAGCCTTCTTAATAGTGAACCCCTCTGAAAAATCCTGAATTTCATCCATTATTTGTGTAAGATTGGAAAGCTGCACTTAACACCTTTTTTTTTTACAGTAAATAAGATGGACAAGTTTTAAACTTTAAGTTTTACAGATAAGTAAAATTAAAATACCAGATGAAGCTGATTAGGTATCTGTGAAAATACGCATGTTCTCATTTATGTCAATAAATGATTTATGTCTTATAAAGAAATATGCTTTCGCTAGTTATTTTTGAAATAATATAAACATCCACGGATAAATCACACAATAATTAGTGCTGAATTTGCAGTTTTAACCACACATTGTAAACAGTAAATGTTCTTACAGAATACTAGATGACATTGTATATGACAGTAGTGCCTGTATTTAGTAGTTTATGTGGTATTTCTCTGACCTGATTACAAGCATAATTTTTCATTTAAATTTTTAACCTAGTAAGTTGTAGCACAGCATTAGCTTTCAGTCTGTTTAATATGCTTTTAAACCTAATTCTTCATGTGATGTGAACACTAAATTTGCGCCTCTGTTAAGCAGTTGTGTTATTTTTTTCTTTTAAGATTTTATTTTATTAGAGAGCATGAGCAGGGAGGAGAGGCAGAGGCAGAGAAGCAGACTCCCTGCTGAGCAGGGAGCCCGATGCAGGACTCGATCCCAGGACCCTGAGATCATGACCTGAGCCAAAGGCAGCCGTTTAACCAACTGAGCCATCCAGGCGCCCTAAGCAGTTGTATTATTAAAGTGACCTGTTGCACCAAATGCCCTCTGCAAATGAAAGGGAGATATGTGATATAAAGTGCCTGGTATGGAGCCTGGCACAATGGGTTTTTAAGAAATGTAAATTCCCTTCACACATGCTTATTGGTTTGTTATTTTCTTTCTTGTTTTACTTTGCTTTCATCTTCCTAAACTTACGCGATATGTATTTCAGAATATATCACTTCATTAGAACTGTTTTGCCCAGGAACCAGTTAGAAAGAATGAAACCCCCATCCCTGTATGCCGTTTCTTATTTCTAAGTACTGGAAAACAAGGCACTAGAAGGAAAAATTCTTTCCTGTTCACTTGAAGTCTGACCTTTTTTAATATAAATGCTGATGAAATATCTTGTTTTCCATATGCAGATCCTTTGCAAGCAAAGAAAGTCAGAAAGGTGCCTCCTGGTTTGCCTTCTTCAGTAAGTACCCATTTTTTTGACTTGGTGGTAAATAAACCGATTTCAGGTATTCAGTATTTGCTGGCTGTAAGGATATCTTTGATTGGTGTCAGCAGGCACACTTCACATAGTAACTGTTCACTGTTTAATGGAATCATTGATTGAGATAAATCCACATTTAATGTTAGGTTTTCAGATTTCTCTGCAGTAATTTGTAGCTTACTCATATGCTGTTACTCCATGTCCCTGTCATTTGAATTCCTCTCTTGGGAAGAGGACTAGGCGGTAGCTGTCAAAGAAGATCTCCTGTACAGGTCTTTTGATGTTTAATTAGTCATTATGTTGCTGAACAGGAGGACAGACAGAGATTAATAGCTGAGAATCTTAGAAATTTACATTTGTAATAATCCCAGTGGAGCTAAAGACATTAAGATTCGGAGGACATGTTCGGCTCAGCTTGCCTCAGTAGGACTGAAGTTATTAATATGCATAAATCACCGAGTCAGATGTTCATTGTGAAGCCCTTGTGGATTTTAAAGCCTTCATTAAGCCTTTCCTAACTTCAGCCTAGCATCAGGAAAGCTTTCAAGCAACTAGTTTGTTGATCCCCCTTTGCTCAAAAAATATATCCTTTGAGAATAAAGAGCTTTCGTGAAGGAGGTTGGAAAGGTTTGGTGAACGATCATTAATGGCTGTGATAATCTAATGCTGGAGGGGTGTTTGTCCTATTAAATATACTTTATTCTTTTAAAGAGTAAAAGTATTTGTAAATGAACCTACATCATAAATCCACCTACATTTTAAAAATCTCTGGTGTGAGCAGGGAAGATTTTTTTTCTCCTTTCTCTTGGCTTAGAACAAACGGGGAGTGGGGCTTTTGGATTGAGGCCCCATGCCTTATAGGGTACATCTCTTTGTTGTGTAAATGGATGTTGGGCTTTTATTTGGCAGTACTTAACACATGGGCGCAGGTGCTGCTGGATGAGTCACAGCTCATCGAAGTATACGCTGAATGGAATATCCGGCTTGGCAAGTAGTAATCTAGAAGGAGCAGCATGGGTCTGAGCTTTTTATTTTTTATTAAGGCTGAAGTAGAGATACCATCTTTTTGGTTGTTTGCCTTCCTTCTTTCCTGTGTTCTTCCCCTGCCTTCTCTTTCGTGTGATACATGAAAAACTCAAATCTGAAATCCTCTTTGAAACTCAGTTCCAGATGGATCTGAGTTTTATGTAGCCTAGGGCAGCTGTGCTCTAAACCTGCAGCCTACCTGGAAGGTTGGATTGCAGCTGCAGGCATTCTTAAAAGCTTTTGCTTGCATAAGCACTTGGGCCCACTAGAGGCTGAATAGCTGCTTGATAAACAAAATGAACACAATGCCTCAAATCATTATTCCCGAAGACAGGAATTTTTTTTCAACAACAGCTAAAAATAGTTGGGCAATTTACATTTTAACAGTTGTGTGCTGTGCAGGGGTAGGTGGTTCAACAGTATAACAGATGATTTCTGCTAGATTAACAGAAATCATATTTAAAACTGACAGAACTGCTAAACCATGTAACTGTGCAATTTTCTTGTAATTTATTGCCATAATTCAATGAAAGTAATAAAAGTTAAATTGCATGTTAATATTTAGCAGAACCACACAGGTGAAAAAAAATATCAGATTTGTAAGTGAAAAATTCATCCTATTTCTCTTAGCCTGACATTGATTTTAAGAAACAATCTATTTTCAGTGTTTCGTAGTTTTTTCATGTTTAAAACAAAAGGGCAAAATAGAACAGCCTGGAAAGAGTATACACACAAGAGGTAACCATTATTCCCTCCAGTATTCCCTAATCATAACAGCATTCACTATGTGGAGGTAGTTCTCTCTACCGTCTCATGTGTCAGGACAAGCCACAGGGAAGGGGAAGGCCACTGAATTCTGAACTTGGATTTCTTTGAGAACCATTAGGAAATTTCATAAGCCAAGCCTACTTATATATTGTGTTACTAACTACCTTACTCAGGATTTATTAGGTATTTGTACAGAACAGAATAGAATTCAGTGTTTTCAATTCTATATTAAAATCCATCTCAAACATAAAATATTTAGAAACCATGATGAAAATAGTATTTAGACATATTGAATGTTATTAAGGATATATAAAGAATAAATGCATTTTAATTACTTGAAAGTGTATTTTAGATTAATTGCTATGTTGAAATCTCTGTTTTCTTAAAGAGAATATTTTAAAAACTTTAAAAATGATACTTTGATAAATATTACCAAAATAATAAACTTCTGAGAATACTTATGGTTACAGTATTTACCTTTTCAGTATCTAAAGCAAATGGGAATTTAAAGTTACGGTTTTCTATTGAAATGCTTTTACTGAAATATATGCAATGTATAGACCTTTAACAATATGAATTGTAAAAAGGTATAAAAATGAAAATGGACTATGTATATTTTATTTCATGACCATTTGAATATCATACTTCCCAAACGAAACTAGAAACTTGGCAGTAACCTCTCAGATTTCAGTTTGCTGCTTATCCAAAATATCTTTAATCATCTATAAAATACATATTACCTTTACTAAAGAAACAGTAGAAGAACTAGGTTAATACTGTACTACTCATACTGCTACATAAAACAGTAGGCAGGGTTACTTAACATGCAAAACATTGATAATCTACTTAATTGACCACAGAGCATTGGTTAGAGGCCTTTTCTTTTTGTAAGTCATGATATATATAACTTTAGGTATCATAAGCACAGACCTTAGCTCCTATATTCCCCTCTGCAGATCAGCTGAATGGTAATTCCTGTCTGGGGACAAAGGCCCAGTAAGGTTGTGTTGGCATTATTAAAGCAGTATGGTCAGTAAAGGTTGAGAGAATGATCTGCTCGAATCCGCTGGCTCAGTTAATGATTAACTCTATGACCCTGGACTTGTCAGCCCTTAGGAAGTTTGAAGTGAGAAATCTGAATTTCCTTTCAGGTCTAAAAATGCTAAGTAGTTACAGTTTTAAAACTGATGTGACCCTCCCCCGCCAAAAAAAACCTTGATGTGCCCAGTACATAACCAAAAAGCATAGTGAGCCTAGTTTCCTTCCTACTGATAAAAAAAAAAAAAGTGTCCTTAAGTACATTACGTTTTCCACTACTTTTCTAGATAGGTTGAAATACTGGACAGTGTAGACTGGTAGCAACAACATTAGAAATGACGCTTAGACATTGAAAACTCTACCATATACACACACTATCATTACCTTCAAGGAACTTAAAAACCACTAGTATGAGAAACAAGCATTCGGTGAATTAATTATATTGCAGTGAGGCAAGTAAGGGTGTATACCAAGCACTTTGGAAACACAGGTTAGGTAGAACTAACCCTACCTTGGGAAGTACTAATGGCCTCAGGAGTTGACATTTGAACTGTGTCCAGAAAGATGAGTAGCAATTCTGTTAGAGAAGAGGGAGAATGAACCAGACAGGTAAAAGGCATAAATGTGAAAAAATAAACACATGCTCAGGACACATCTAGAAGTACAGCATTACTGGATTCTATACCAGATACAACTTTTGTACTTTTCCTATAACAGACTCACTTTCCCACTCAGAGGAAGATTGGGGAACATATAAAATCAGTCCAGATATGAAAAGGTATAAACTGTCACAGCAGTCTACCCTGGATAAAGTCCTAAAGTATCCTGGCCGATAAATAATAGGCGGCATTTGTAATTGTTAAGATTTATCTAGGAGACTTTCAGAAGGCATGGTACTTTGACTTTGTGAGGTGTTTTCCTCCTTTTTTAAGGTTTCTGAGCTTCCTCTCCCTTTCTCTAACCAGTAACTTTAGTCTTTGTTCTTCTGTGTACACTGGTTGTTTTTCATCTGAATCAGATTTGTACTAAGATACAACGTTTAAGGAAAATTTTGAAGCACTGGATATGGATTGGGGGCAGTTGTGGTTTTTTCCTAGTAATTGAAAAAAAAGAAAGAAAGAAACATTTGTACTGTGTTTGTTAGCATCCTTTACAGACTCACAGAGGTGTAGGACTTATATGTATGAGGATCTGTGTTCACCATTATCTGTATTATGTTAATCTTTAAACTTTTTAACACACCTCTTTAAGATAACTAATACCCTCTTCTTACAAATAAGGAAATTGAGACTCAGAGATATTAAGATCACACATACAGCCAAGATTACAACCTAATTTAATAACAAGGACCATTTTCTGTATATTTTGAATGTTAAGCATATTATGTATCTTGGTTTACTCATAAAACATCCTGTTTAGTATATTAAATTTAAGCCATATTCTGTCAATTATGTTTTTGTTGATCAAATTTATTTTTAATTAGCTTTGTTCTTTTAAGAACCTGTCACCATCTGAAAGGATGATGTAGAAAAGCACAGACTTTCCAGTCCAGCAGATAATGGGTTTTATCTAATCTCAGCTGCTTTTTATTTTAAAACCTTGGAGAACTTGCTTTTAAGTTTTCTGAACACCAAGGAGAAAATAATGCCCTTCTCAAATGTTAGTGTGCAGGCATCCTGTGCCCAACGTGTGCCCAGCATATAATAGACACTCAATAAAGGTTCTTTATTTTTTCTAGTTCCTACCACTGCGGCCCGAAATTTAAAGAACTTCAGCATTTCATTTTTACCAAATGTTGCTAAAACGCAAGCAAAAGTTTGAAAACATAAGGAGGGATAAATGTTACACGGAAAGAAAAAAAGTTACTATGTTACTTAGACTTGCATATGTAATGTATTTGCTTGGCACATGAGTGGTAAATTGTAGCTGCTCTTGTTGTTTAAAAAGCATTCATTTTCAGAAAAGGAACCTGTAGGAGAGAAAATTCGTTGAATCAAATTCTGCCTAGAATTCATACTACTTATTTTTGCTTTCTCAACTATCAGGAGTCTGTTTTTTTTCCCCCCTGTATTTTTTTATCATTGGTTTAACATCTTTATGCCCCTCTGAAGCATTTCTCAGATGGAAAGAAGTTTCTTTGCTTCTTA